ACTCTCCCATAATGTCTTCTAGTTGTCCGGTAAGGAATGATTTAATTGTTTTTAAAGATTATTTCTCTGGGTAAATTAATTTCCCACTCCCAGAAAGTGGATGTGTTTGTGATGGCTGATGCCACAGTATCAGCCACCTTCTGGATGTCCCACCATCTGACTTATTTATTTATAAAAATTATTGGCTGGCCAATGTGCCACAGGGTAATTCTGGGAGGCTTACAATCATAAAAGTAAATATATATACATGTTATGTCTCACCTGTACCAACAAGGTGAGAAGTCCAAATTTCCAACCGAATACAAACAAGCAAGCAAGTTCAGTAATTACAGGGTTAAATTCATTGAGCTGATAAAGTTCTTGGCAGTCTCACACAAGCTGTCTGCCAAGTCTGACAAGAAAGCAGGAATATAAATCACAAGCTGTCACCGCACACAGGATATTTCTGAAGCTTCTCTCACTAAGTAACACGTTGTCCCGAACAAATTCCCAGAGTGAACACACCCACTTTTATTCCCTGTGGGGCATGTCAGTCCCTCATCTCAGTCTCTGATTCGTCCTTTCTTTCTGCGTTGCAGCTCACACTTTTGCCTGCGCTATTGCCTCACATCAAGCCAGCATTCCTCAGCTTGATCTTCAGTCAGAGGCTCTGATACGCTCTCCTGGTTATCTGCCAACACCTGAGGCACAATCAGGGAGGAAGGTCTTGCCGAAGAGGAAAGTCCTGGGGAGAAAGGCAACTCCAAATCCTCTAACAAAGCAGGCTCAAACCTCAAAGCCAAATCCTCCTCTTCCTCATTGTCCAAGTCTTCGTCCTCTAACAGAGCAGGCTCAAACCTCAAAGCCAAATCCTCCTCTTCCTCATTGTCCAAGTCTTCGTCCTCTAACAGAGCAGGCTCAAACCTCCGACACCACAACATATACACATATGGAGAAGGTGGGGTCAGGATGTGGCAAGGGTGGGATCAATCAACCACCTCCACTTGCTCCCCACTGGGGCTCCAATTCAATTGGCAGAGCCAAATCTTTAGTCCCTTGTGAGAGGTAAGGAGGATTGGGGTTGATGTCACGTGGTGGGGAGGTCCAGAGGTCAGGAACATCAAAGAAGGGTCTCCTGGACGCCACCAGACAGAATTATGGGGACAAAGGGTTATGCATCATGCCTCTCTTGCCAGCTTGTGTGGGACAGGTTTTGATTTCCCCTCAAGACCACAAATGTAATCAGTCATCAAAGAAGATCTGGGATCCATTATGCTGTGACGCATTTCCAGCAGATGGAAGTTGTAGGGATTTTAATGCAGCTGTCAGTAAGATTTTAACTGTTGGAAAGTTTCAAAAAAATCTCTAAGAAATGCGTCACTGCAGTTTTGGGAGAAAATGCCTTAGTGCAGCGGTCGCCGTAAGAAAATTTTGGTGGGCTGTGAGAAAATTTTGGTGGACCTCAGAGAAATCTCACCCCCAGAGCACCCCTCCCCCCAAAGCAATTAATCCAGGCTACACAGACACACAAGGCTGCGCCACCCACATGGCCCACAGGAACACTCCCCGCCCACTCACTCCTTACCCGGTAAACTTGCCTGCTAAATTGCTATTTTTCCTTTTTCCGACCATCACCTGTTCTGCTGTGCCAGGAGATTTATATTAGTTAGGAAGCAGGAAATGGTTGGATTTCTTGCTTTCTAGCTAGTCTTTAGATCTTCAGCTCAGCATAGCTGAACCTCCCTTAGGACTGAAGGTTTGCTTGCAAGCAAATTCAGTCCAGACTCAGGGAGACTGAGAGACTGAACTCAGGGAAATTTGAGAGACTGAATTAGTTGATGGCAGATAGACAGATCACTGAATGATTCTGTGAGCAATTCAATCTGCCTGCTTTGCCTGATTTTGGATAAAAGTTGCTCTTTTTATAAAAAAATTCAATATTTACATGCACGGGGTGTTGTGTGTTAATTTTGTGAGTTTGCTTGCAAGCAAATTTTATGTGACAGACTGAGCTAGCCAATGGCAGATAGACCTCTGAATGAATCTGTGATTCTGTGAGCAACTCAATCTGCCTGCTTTGCCTGATTTTGGATAAAAGTTGCTCTTTTTTAATAAAAAATTCAATATTTATATAAATATTTATAATATTTACATATAAGCCATGCCCAGCCAGTCACATGAACACTGAGCCACACCCACAAGTTAGGCCATGCCCACATAACTGGTTAGTGGTCCCTGGGATCTAAAATTATGAGTTTGGTGGTCTCTGAGGTCCAAAAGGTTGGTGACCCCTGCCTTAGAGGCAACCTTTTGAAAACTGGCCAACCCATCCCTCTGAACCCAGCAATTGTTCAGCTCTTCAGAAGGATGTAGAGATTTCATGTAAATGTGAGGATGTGGCTTTTTCAAAGGAAAACACCAGGGACTAATTGTCTTCTTGGCTATCATGCTTACCCAACTCTCCTTTGTGATGTCTCAGGTTGGCCCCATTCCACTGTTGGTGGCCACTATTTTAGATCATTTATATATCCTAGCAGAGTTAATCTTATCGGGTTACACAGCACATTGCCTTTTGCCTTCCCAAATCTTGCAGTGGGGATATTTAATCAAAGAAAATCTCTCAAAAGCCAGGATTGAACCAACATGAATGTAAGTGAAGTTGTGCTCCCCCTACTTCACTCTACAAGCTGAGCTCTGGAAAGATACTCAGTATAAGGAATATCATCTCATTAATTCTTGCGCTGCTGCAACCGCCAGACTGAGACAGCCAGCAAGCGATAAGGCCATGCTGATTGTGAACTGCCCATACCTGTTGTTTCTATGGTGTAGTGGTTATCACATTTGCCTCATGCCAAATGTGCTGTCCAGCCAGTGTATGGGAATTGGATAATTAGGTATCAATTGTGAGCTGTCCCCTTAAGGGAATGCATCATGGTAAATGTAGTTAAAGTATCCTGGGAAATGTAGTCCATGTCATGTGACCACATCTGTAATCCTGATTGGTCACTAAATTTACCCTCGATGGGTAGGAGTAGTTTTCCTCACTCTTGGTTGAACTCAGACTCATGGTAACTGTTTTACTTCTATCGCCACAAGATGGGAGAAAAAGGATAGAAGATAAATCATCTTTTTACCTACAAGTCAGATATACAAAGGATTGGTCATTAAAGAAGAACTTCATCACAAATATGAGTTATGAGGATACCTGATGAACCAATAAATGTACTTTGTTATGGACGTCTTGTTGAGTTGATCTATCTGCACCTGTACAGTTTACAAATCTACCACTGTACAGAACACAGAACACCAAATGTTCAAAACTAGGTAGAAACACATCTTTTTTTCCCCACCATCGGAGTCACTAATTGCTCTTTTGGAAGAAGTATCTTTCTGGGTTCAGTTCCAAGTGGGGAAGAGAGACACTGGAAACAGGGTGACTGCTGGGAAAGATGATTTAATGGTGGACCGGATCACATACCTGGGAGCTCCTGGCTGAAAAGGGGAGAGATGCGGAAAGTGCCTGGGTTTTATGCCCTGTTTTGGGATTTGAATTTGAGCTTATATTCTGATTGGTTGTCAGACTCCCATGGGGCCATGCAGGGGCTGTCCTGAGTCCCAGGCTTGGTTAAGCCTTGCTGGATGACGATGTAATGAAAGGGTTTTGGGATACCTCCTTAATGGCCCATTGACAAAGGTTGGGGGGTGGGGCGGGGCTGAGTTTCTGCCTCTCTGAGTTTCTACTTCTCTTTTAGGGGAAATATTCTGCCTTTTTAGTATATCCTAAAATATTTCATTTTTTTTCTAGTAGAGAGGTGGGTTTTCCAACAACTCAAAGAAAAGGCAGGAAAAGGCTGCATCGCTAAGACAAGCAAGAAACCCATTCTATTTTCTATTTGATTGGAGAGGGAATGAAAGAATGAAAGATTAAAGCCTGTCTGAGTTTCAACTCCCAGAATTGTGAGCAGGAGGGAGGAGGGAGTATTTCCCACCCCGTAGCTTGGCTGAATCACCTCAAGCACGGGAGAAGGTGGGAGGAGGAGATCTCCTGGGGTGCATCAACTAAGGTTTTTGCTAATTTCTGAGGCTGATCTTCAGGAAAACGAGCTTCAACGAAGATTTCCTCAACGTTCACAAATCACACACACAATTCCCAGACATTAAGAAGAGGAAGTTCTAAAACTGCATAGATGACGGCCGCCTATCTGGAAAGGAAAAGACTTGTAGAGAGATGCTTTTCTTCCAATCCCAATGCTCATCATCCCTGCCCCCCTGGGAACTTGCTCTGGTCTTCTGCGCCTTGGCAGGATCCCCTAGCATATCATTCGTCAGCGCTTGGAAGGGATGGGCAGCCCACTTCCGGAGGGAACTGAGCATGCGCTTGGCTCTTTCGCGAGCTCAAATTTTTTTCCGGGAAAGGCTGGGAGCGTGTTGAGCTGCTGAGCTACGAGGCCGAGAGGCTGTAAGGAATTCTCCCACGGGCGGAGATCCAGGCGTGACTCGGCGTGAGTGGAGCTCTTTTCTCTGACGCTGGAGGCGAGCCTGGGGCATGCAAAGCTTCGTCAAGTTCCAAGTCGCGGGAAGGGCGGATGCAAACCAAGAACCTGGTTCAAGAATGGCGGTGCATTGGATGGTGGCTTGTTAATTGTGGCTTCTGGCATGATTTGTGTGTGTGTGTGTGACTGGAGACATAATTTGGATTGTGCAAAGGACTGTAGGCAGCAACAGAAATGATTTGATATAAATAATTAGGAAATAGAATCCCAGAACTTATTTTAAATGTATTTATCCCCTATTTTGATTCCTTGATAGAAGTTGAGGCAGAGGATTGCTAGCAAACTTTCCCAAAACATAAACAAGTATATCTAACAAGATTCCCCACCCCCACCCCCGAAAAAGCTTTGCAGAAATTGGTGGGTTCATAAGAATTTATTTTGTTGCTTTATTTATTTATTTATTTATTGAGGAGGAGGAGGAGGATGCACAGTATTCTAATTTGAACACCCTTGTGTTTTCCATTTCAGTTCTGTAGCCGTAAATCTTTCCTGGTTCCTGTGGAGATCTAAGTATTTTGTGAGGGAAGAGGGCTGAATGGCGTTAGGAGGTTTGGCCACACCTCTTGTGATTAGTCGGACCTGGGGAGATGCATGGGTCCATTTTGGTGGTGGATTAGAGGCCAGAGAGAAAATGGAGGGACAACAGCCAGCAGATGCAGGAGATGGAAACGGCCGTCCAGCTGCTCAGCCTTGGAGCTGTGGAAAGAATGGGGCAAGTCCTGGGCAGAAGAGCCAAGAGGAAGAAGCCAGCAGTTCAGAGGCCCAATGTTGTGACTTTAGCAAAGTGCAGTTCCTGGGGGGGAAGAGTCCCCAAGATGTTTGCACTCAGCTTCACCGTCTTTGCTGTCAGTGGCTACAGCCAGAAAAACACACCAAGGCTCAGATGCTGGACCTGGTGCTCCTGGAGCAGTTCCTGGCTGTCCTTCCCCCAGAGATGGAGAAATGGGTGCGGGAGTGTGGAGCAGAGACCAGTTCCCAGGCGGTGGCCCTGGCTGAAGGCTTCCTCCTGACCCAGGAGTCTGAGAAGATGCAAGAAGAGTTGCAGGTGGGAGAATGTAATCATGGCAGTTCTAAAGAGAATCTTTCTGAATTTGTCGATGTCTCTCTAGCAGAATCTTCTGGGATTATGAGCTGCTAAGATCTCTTGTTCTATTCTTGATAATTCATTTCTATCTCTCTACTCTTCCTTCCTTTCTCGTGCCACATCTTGTCCACAAGTCTTTGCAAGCTATCACCAAGTATCCCCAGGGGTGGAAAGATTCATCAAAATCCTCTCAAGAGCTGCTATTCAGGGAGATCTCCCCGGAAGGTCAAAGTCAGGACATCGCACCAGGTAACGGAAGCTCTTTCCATGGGATATGAAGATATCCATCCATCTGATAGTTTTGTTTTGTTCATCTTGAGTGGAATCCCCCCCCCTCTTTTTTAACAGTCTGCTTCTACCATTTTCTGTCCCACAGAGAATAGAAAGCTGTCCTTAGTATTTTTAGAACAACCTTCTCTTTGTGATAGAGCTGAAAGAGTGGCTGAACCTCTGCCTCAGGTAAGAGGAGAAATATTGGAAAGGTCTATGAAACTTGGAATAGTTTCATTTTATTCTGTATAATTATCAATGTACGTATAATATTGTTGTTTCCAAGCAAGACAGATTTTAGACCAGATCATTGAAAATTCACACTCGGCATAACCTATCAGTCTCTTCTGATAAGCTTTCTCCACCCACCTGGCCCAGGCTCAAATTTCATTGATGAGATGTTGTCTTGACTGGAGATCTTCCTCTTGTCTCCCAGGGTCATTCTCACTACCATTACAAGCTCTATCAACACTTCAAACATAGATGGATAACCCCTGTATTTCCTTCTGCCCACTCCGCACCCAAGAATTGGTGCCAATATAAGTAGTGGGTCTAATACCCGCTACTATCAACCAAGAGAATTATTTTAATTGGTTTCACTGAAAGGCATCACAATCCTCCCAGTGTGATGAAATGTGCTCCAGTTGTGCCATCAGCTAATAGTGGTGTGATCCCCTTCTGAATTCTGCAGAGGATGCCCATTTTGTTCATAGAATCTCTCTGCTTGGAATTGGTGAAAGAAAACTCTCACATTATTCTTGGGATTATCTGTTAATAGGGAAACTTGTTTCCTTGTCCAGGGTGGTGTGTCTTTTGAGGAAGTGGCCGTGCATTTCTCCAAGGAGGAGTGGTCTCAACTGGATCCTGCCCAAAAAGCTCTCCATGGGGAAGTTATGCTGGAGAATTCCAGAAATCTGGCCTCTCTGGGTAAGAAACCCTGTCTGTGTTCAGAAATGTAGAGAAGGCATGAGTGGGTGGAAGGCTTAGATATTTCTGATAAAAAAGATCGCTTTTTATTTATATCCTGCCTTTATTCTTTTTTGCAAATAACTCCAGGCAGTGGACACAACTAGTAGGCCTTCCTCTTCCCATTTCCCCCCAACAACAGCACTATGATATGGGTTGGGCTGAGAGAGACTGGCCCAAAATCACCCAGTCAGTATTCATGCTTAAGGCAGAACTAGAACAGGTAGTCTTCGAGTTATGAGCACAATTGAGCCCAAAATGAATGTTGCTAAGCCAGACATTTGTTAAGAGATTTTTGTCCCATTTTTACCACTGTTCTTTCTTTCCACTTCCATTCATCAGTGAATCACTGCAATTATTTTAGTAACACGATTGTTAAGTGAATCTGGCTTCTCCATTGACATTGCTTGTCAGAAGGTCATTAAAAAGGGATCACACTGCAACCGTCATGAATATGAATCAGTTGTCAAGCATCTGAATATAAATCACATGACCGCAGGGATGCCCCAATGGTCATAAGTGTGAAAAATGGTCCTGTCACTTTTTTCAGTCCCATTGTAACTTTGAACAGTCACTGCTGTAAGTTGAAGACTACCTGTACTCACAGTCTCCCAGTTTCTAGTCTGGTGCCTTAACCATTGTACCAAACTGACCGAGATGTGCCCACTTACGTTCTGGGGGTGGGGAGGCATTGCCATCCAGAAAGTTAGATGTTATTTCTGATAAAAAATATCACATTTTATTTATATCCCATGGATACACCTAGTACTCCTTCCTCTTCCTATTTCCCATCCCCCCCCCACACACAAAGAACACTGTGGCATGATTTGGGCTGAAAAGAGATTGGCCCAAAGTCTCCCAACCAGCATTCATGCTTAAGATGGAACTAGAACTCAGAATCTCTGTTTTTAGCTAGGTGCCTTAACCATAGTACCAAACTCACTGCGATGTGCCCACTTTTGCCCTGAGTTTGGTATCATTCTAAGTTGAGGGTGGGAAGCTATTGCCATCCAAAGATTCTGCTCTGTAGATAGATGGAGACTTTTCATTGAAGTTGGTGAGCTGGTGGGTATGTTGCTGTCCCAGCATTATACGGTGTCCAAAGCCCTTTGGAATTCCTGGCTCCATGGAATTGTCCCGGGTCGCCAAGCGGCTCACACCCACTGGAGCTCAAAGATTAGATCAGGCATTTGTCTTAGTTTTGTTGGGATGTCATCCAATTTTGACAGATGAGAATTGGTGGAAGCCCACTTGGAAATCTGTCTTTGGAGAAACCATGGTTTGGAATCTTCATGTTTGCAACAAAACAGCCAGAATATATTGTTGATTCTTTTGCTAAATTTTAGAGGAAAAGGTTTGATCATTCTCCTAATTTGCTACATTTCCCTTTTTCTCTTTCAAGGCTATAATGGGCATGGGAATAAAAATTGTAAGGAACAATGTGAACCGGTCGATCCAAACGAGCAAAACATGAATTTTGCAGATCAGATGCAAACAAAGATTGATGAAACAAACCAATCCCAAAGTGAAGTTGAAAAAAGATTTCCTTCTGCCCGTCGTCTTCTTGGCCATACAATCATCAATATGAGAGAAATACCATATCAACGCATGGATTATGAAAAGAGCTTTAATAAACATGAGCATTTAATTCCCCATAAAGAGACACATTCAGAAGACAAACAATATACCTGCATGGAATTTGGAAAGACCTTCTGTTATTATGACTCTTTTACACTCCATCAAAGGAATCACAACAGAGAAAGACCTTATAAGTGCATGGAGTGTGGAAAGGCCTTTAGTTGTAGCAGTCGTCTTAATTTCCACAGGAGGATCCACACAGGAGAGAAACCATATCAGTGTCTTGAATGTGGAAAGAGTTTTAGGTGGAATTGTCGTCTTACGTCCCATAAAATGATCCACACAGGAGAGAAGCCATATAAATGTATGGAATGTGGAAAAGACTTTAGAGAGAACTTTGCTCTTACTTCCCATAAAAGGATCCACACAGGAGAGAAGCCTTATCAATGCATGGAGTGTGGAAAGGCCTTTAGGTGTAGCAGTAGTCTTAATTCCCACAGGGTGATCCACAAAGGAGAGAAACCATATCAATGTCTTGAATGTGGAAAGAGTTTTAGGTGGAATTGTCGTCTTACGTCCCATAAAATGATCCATACAAGGGAAAAAAACCTTATGAACACATAGAGTGTGGAAAGAGCTTTTCAAGAAGCTCTTACTTGCCATAGAAAGATCCACGAATAGGAGAAGCCATAACAATACAGGTGATGAAAATAACTGAATTTAGATATACTACTGTGAGATGGTGACTAGAGATACCAACAGAAATGAGAAAATAGTTTTCAGTTTAAAACCAGTCGTGTCACTGGTTCCTCCCAATAAACCTGAACACACATATATTTTACGTAAGAAAGTTCAGATGAAGTGCTCTGAAAAGAAGACACAACTGTGGGATGTCCCATAAACACATGCAGAAGTTTTTCTCCAGTGAAAGTACCAAATTCCTTTTTTCCTGTGGAGTGACAAAGTCTCAAACAAAAGCTAAATTTGTGGTATATTTTTGGTGCGTGTACCTGTAGCCTTAGATTAAATTAAAGAAATACAGTTGGTGTGATTATTTAACAGATGGTCAAAGGAAAAAGGGAATTCAAAGTATTCTGGCATCAAAAGCTATCCAGCATCAACTGAGGAAAGGGACTTTTGAAAACTGCAGAGCCTGAAATAAAGTTAGGACGATTGCTGCAGGAATTGTTGGTAGAGAGCTGCCACATTGGGATGTGCTGCAATTCACTAAGGGAATTACTACTACTTTGAGTTTGGGAATCTCACTCCAGCTTGAAAACATTTACTCCAAAGAGAGCTTAGCAATATGCTGTCAGATCTCTGAGGTAGCCAGACAGGAATGGCCAGACAGGCTAACTCTATTGTAAGGCTATTGTACTACTACTATTCATACTGTGTTGTAAGGCTGTATGAATAGAATTGTGCAAGTCTGAAAGTACAAATCTGCCATTGCTTAAAGTTGCTCCTAACTGTGAGATGGAGCTCATATGCATTGAATAAATAAATAATAAATAACAGTCTGATGCATCAGTGGACATTGTTTTTAAGATTCTTTCCTTTCCAGTTATGCAGCTGCATACTCCTCCACCTTTTAATTGATATTTCCCTGAGTAGCATCCTTTTCCCTTTTCCCTCAAAGTGATTCCCACAAACCTTTACAAGTTGCTAGTGCTGTGGAAATATCTGTACCTTTACTAGCTATGTCTAAAGGCAGTAACTTTCAAGGAAGGTTCTTTAGAGGAAAATGACTGTAGCCAAGCATTCAAGAAGAAGCCAGATGGGTCATAGACAGATTTTATAGAACTACATGACATACAGAATACATATGGGAGAATATTTGTAGCTCAGGGTTGAGATGGGGGTCTCTGGTGCTCTCTGAGCTTGGTTGTTATATGTTGCAGTCATTACACTGTACGTTGTAGATGATTCTTGTTTCTTGGGGTCATCTCAGAAACCACAACAGACAGGAATAGTACCTTAATTTGTTCCATGAGATGCCACAAGTACTTAAAAGGACGATTCCCAAACAAATCACATGACATAACCATGCGACCCTTTCAGACAGAAGAACTTTTTCCGTCCCTTTGCTGATGGTCAGTGACCTTCCCAGCAAGGCCACCTTTCTGTCCACCTTCTCTGGCCGTGCCCCCTTGGGTCCAGAGAAAAGAAAAATAATACACATAGTCCTCTATTTTACGACCAGAAATGAGCACAAAATTTTTGTTGCTAGACAAGAAAGTTGTTAAGTGAATTTTGCCCCATTTTACGATTTTTATTGCCACGGTTAAGTGGATCACTAGTTGTTAAATTAGTAAAGTGGTTGTTCAGAGAATCTGGCTTCTTCATTGATCTTATTTGTTAGGACATCGCAAAAGGTTATCACATGACCCCCAGGACACTGTAACTGTCATAAAGATGAGTCAGTTGCCAAGCACCTGAATTTTGATCACGGGACCCTTTGGATGCTGCAGTGGTCGTAAGTGTGAAAAATGGTAATGAATCATCTTTTTCAGTAGCATTGTAATTTTTAATGGTCACTGAATTATTGTCTATTGAGGACTATCTGTAACTTGCTGGCTTGGTATTTGCTGTGTCAGGCAAATCCTCACGATAACTGCTGGCCTTGTTGGACCCTAGGAGTATTCTGTTGCCTGGAAAGGGGGCAGCCTCATGTCATAGCAGGGAGCACCGAGGAAGCCAGCCATGGATTATATAAGGAGAGGAAAGCAAGGAATAGCTGGTTCAGTGAGGGGGGCTGTTTCAGGACCCTGGAGAGCTCCCAAGCACAAAGTTCCTTTAAGTTGCATTAATCTTGCCTGAAAAGGACAACACGATTGGGTGTCTTCATCCTCTTTGCATTCTGAAAGGGAAAGCTCATGCTGCAGGTAAACCCAATATTTATTTAGAAAAAGCATTGTCAAAAATCAGAGCCCTGAGAGGAAGAGCCTGAGGCATCCCACCCCTTTCATCCTGGAATCATCAAGCAGGCCATCCCTGGGTGAGCTTACACCACCACCCTTCTAGACAACAATCAGACAACAATCACCCTTGTGCCACAGAGAGCCAACACAGGCCTCCCGCTAAGCTCTCTCAGCTTGAACTTCCATATCTGGGGCAGGCTAGACAGCAATAAGATACACTAGTCAGAAGACCCAGGGTGTTCCTCTCTCCCACTACCGGAGGTGAAAATAAATCTTGAACATAAATATTTCTTAGCTTGAGGCAGATTCTTAACAACCCTGGCAGTGATGTAGGGGCATCCTGAACCAGGGACTCAGGTTTGAATCCTGGCTGGCACATGCCTTTTAACTTTTGCCCTTCTAGGATGGACAGGCAACATGACCAGACCACGTTTTCATCCCAGGTTTTGTTTTTGGTGGGAGAAAAAGAGCTAGACTACCAAAAATGAAAAAAAAAAAAACCCAAGAAAAAGCTGTAGCACAGTTATGAACCTTCCGAGTGAGGGAGGCTGATGCCAAGCCATGTGACAAATCTCTGTGGTGGAAGAGATTAGTGCACCTGGCTGTTAATTAGAAGGCTGGGGGTTTGAGCCCAGCCAGGGACGTCCTGTTTCATGACATAATCTAGAAGCGAAAGTGATGGATTGTTATTGTATGGAGTTTTTCAACTGAGGGCTTCAATTCCCACACTGTCAATTCTTTTCCTCGCTGTTAGTTTTATCCTCTGGAATGTAAGTTGGAGAGATAAATACACATCAGCTTTCTTGAGGATTTTATGGGCCATGGAACAGCTCTGGAATGGTGCCTTTCTTAGGGAAGGTTAACCTAATTAGAAGCAGCCCACATGGGATGCTGAATCCTGTCTTCTGGCACGTGCAATTTTTGATTGCAGTGTGATTACTATGCAAACCATTGCTATTTTTCTTGAGGCTCCGTGCTAGAACTCAGTATTATTAATGATACTAGTACGCTGCCATAATTTATTCTAGTTGTCCTGTAAGGAGTGGTTTAATTGGTTTTTAAAGTTTATTTCTTTGGGTGAATTAATTTCCCACTGCTAGTAAGTGAATGTGTTTATGATGGCTGATGCCACATTTTCTGGAGGTCACACTGTCTGACTTATTTATTTATAACAATTATTGGCTGGCCAACGTACCACAGGGTAACTCTGGGAAGCTTACAATCATTAATAGTAAATATTGGAGAGGGTGGGGTCAGGATGTGGCAAGGGTGGGATCAATCAACCACCTCCACTGTGTTGCTACCCCATTGGGGCTCCAATTCAATTGGCAGATCCAAATCTTTAGGCCCTTGTGAGAGGTCAGGTGGGTTGGGGCTAATGTCACATGGTAGGGGGAGTTCCAGAGGTCAGGGACAACATCAAAGTAGGGTATCCTGGACCCCACCAGCCAGAATTATGGGGCCGATGGGTCATGAATCATGCCTCTTGCCAGCTTCTGTGGGACAGGTTTTGACTTCCCCTCAAGACCACAAATGTAATCGGTCATCAAAGAAGATCTGGGATCCATTACACTGTGACACATTTCCAGCAGATGGAAGTTGTAGGGATTCTAATGCAGTTGTCAGTAAGATTTTAACTGTTGGAAAGTTTCAAAAAAATCTCTAAGAAATGCGTCCCTGTAGTGTGTTTGTTCCCTCATTTACAGACAAAGGAGAGAGAAGGATATGGCAAGCCAGTGAATTGTATGCATATTCTAAATATGGACCTTCTCACAACACGGCACCTTGAGGAGAAAATGCCTTAGAGGCAACCTTTTGAAAACTGGCCAACCCATCCCTCTGAAACCAGCAATAGTTCAGCTTTTCAGGAGGATGTAGAAATTTCATGTAAATGAGAGGATGTGGCTTTTTCAAAGGAGAACACCAGGGGCTGATCGTCTTCTGGGCTACCATGCTTATCCAACTCTCCTTTGTGATATCTCAGGTTGGCCCCATTCCACTCTTGGTGGCCACTATTTTAAATCATTTATATATCCTAGCAGAGTTAATCTTACCGGGTTAAAAAGCACATTGTATTTTGTCTTCCAAAATCTTGCAGTGGGGACATTTGGTCAAAATCTCTCAAAAGCTAGGATTGAACCAACATGAGTGTTAAGTGAAGTTGGCTCCCTTGTCCTTCAGTCTACCAGCCGAGCTCTGGAAGGGCACAAAGTATGAGGAATAACATCTCATTAACTCTTGTGAGGCTGCAGTTGCCAGACTGAGACGGCTGGCAAGTGATAAAGCCATGCCAACTGAGAGCTGCCCACACCTGTTGTTTCTATGGTGTAGTGGTTATCCCATTTGCCTCACACACAAAAGGTTCAAAACCAGGCAGAAAACATGTAGTTTTCTCAGTATTGGAGCCACTCCTTGCTCAACGAAAAGGCAGGAAAAGTCTGCATCATTAAGACAAGCATTCTATTTTGTATTTAATTGGAGAGGGAACGAATGAGGAGAGTCTGATTTCAAGCCACCAGTCAAGGAAGGCTGGTCATCCCAAGTGAGCAGAGTGAAAGATTAAAGCCTGTCTGAGTTTCAACTCCCAGAATTCTGACCAGGAGGGAGGAGGGAGGGTTTCCCACCCATAGTCTGTCAGAATCACTTTAAGCACTGGAGGAGGAGATCTCTGGAACAACTTGCCTTCAGAAGTTGTGAATGCTCCAACACTGGAAGTTTTAAAAAAGATGTTGGATAAACATTTGTCTGAAGGTTTAGGTTTCCTGCCAAGGCAGGGGGTTGGACTAGAAGACCTCAAAGATCCCTTCCAACTCTGTTATTCTATTCTATTCTATTCTATTCTGTTCTGTTCTGTTCTGTTCTGTTCTGTTCTATTCCTATTCCTATTCCTATTCCTATTCCTATTCCTATCCTGTCCTATTCCTGAGGTGCATCCGGAACAACTAAGGATTTTGCTAATTTCTGAGAGTGATCTTCAGGAAAATTAGCTTCAACAAAGATATCCAGAATGTTCGCAAATCACACACACAGTTCCCAGACATTAAGAAGAGGAAGTTCTAAAAGTGCATAGATGACGGCCACCTATTTGGAAAAGCAAAAGTTGCAGAGAGACGCTTTCCTTCCAATCCCAATGCCCATCATCCCTGCCCGCCCCCGTGGAACTTGCTCTGGTCTTCTGCGCCTTGGCAGGATCCCCTGACATATCATTCGTCAGCGCTTGGAAGGGATGGGCAGCCCCTTTCCGAAGGGAACTGAGCATGCGCCTGGTGTTGTGTTTTTTTTTTTTTGGTTTTGTTTTTTTTGCGAACTCAAAAAAAACTTTCCGGAAAAGGTTGGGGCAGTTCTGCTTTTTCTACGGCATCCCATTCTACTCCCCTCGCTGTGAGCCTTCGGTTGAGCCAGGAGGCCGAGTGGCTGTAAGGAATTCTCTCACCGGTGGAGATCCAGGCGAAACTCGGAGTGAGTGGGGCTCTTTTCTCTGACTGTGGAGGCGAGCCTGGAGCTTCGTCAAGTTCCAAGTCGCGGGAAGGGCGGATTTGGGGGTGCGGGGGGTGGTGGTTCGAGGTCCTCTAATCCCCTGCCACCCCGTGGAAGAAAGGGACATGCAGGGCAGCTCCGCACCTGCCGGGTTGTCTCCAGGATGAAAATCAGGGTCGCCAGAAAGAGGGGATCCATTTACCCTCCGTTTCCTCCGGCAAACCTCTGCATGCGGGGAGAGGGAGAGGTTGCCTTTCCAAAACACACCGAATGTCTCGATTCCTGGACAATTCCCTGCACATTTCTTGGCCCCTTTTCCAGAAGGGGTTTCCTTCGCCCCCCCTTTCCTGGGCCGCGAGAAGCGACCAGCCAAAGTTCCTCCGGTTAGCTTTGTATGCAAGGCTGCAGTTCCGCGTGTAACGGGTTGAGTGCAGGGCGTGTAAGGACTGGAGGTCGGTTTCCTCCTTTCCAGCCTTTCCCCACCATCTCTTTGGTGGCTCTGCCGGCAAGCAAACCAAGAACCTGTTTCAAGAATGGCAGTGCATTGGATGGTGGCTTGTTAATTGTGGCTTCTGGATTTCACCCACAGGTTAGGGCCAGGAGGTTCATGGGGTTCTGCTGCCCTCAGTCTTGGTCCATTTTGGAGCTGTATTAGAGACCAGCGAGAAGATGGAGGGACAAGGCTGTCGCACTGCTCAGCCTTGGAGCAATGGGAAGAATGGGGCAAGCCCTGGGCAGAAGAGCCAAGAAGAGGAAGTCAGCAGTTCAGAGGTCCAATGTTGTGACTTCAGAAAATTGCAACTCCAGAAGGGGAAGGGTCCCCGAGATGTCTGCAGTCAGCTTCACCGTCTTTGCTGTCAGTGGCTGCAGCCAGAAAAACACACCAAGGCTCAGATGCTGGACCTGGTGCTCCTGGAGCAGTTCCTGGCTGTCCTTCCCCCAGAGATGGAGAAATGGGTGCGGGAGTGTGGAGCGGAGACCAGTTCCCAGGCGGTGGCCCTGGCCGAAGGCTTCCTCCTGACCCAGGAGTCTGAGAAGATGCAAGAAGAGTTGCAGGTATGAGAATGTAATCATGGCAGTTTTAAAGAGAATCTTTCTGAATTTGTCAATGTCTCTCTGGCAGAATCTTCTGGGATTATAACTACTAACATCTCTTGTTCTGTTTTTCTTTTCATTGAATTTGGACCAGTTTTTCTGTTCTTGCTTTCCGGCTTAACCAGATGGACTTTGGTGTCTGCTAGGCTGAGTGTGCAATATTGATAATTCATTTCTATCTCTCTACTCTTCCTTCCTTTCTCGTGCCACATCTTGTCCACAAGTCCTTGCAAGCTATCACCAAGTATCCCCAGGGGTGGAAAGGTTCATCGAAATCCTCTCAAGAGCTGCTATTCAGGGAGATCTCCCCGGAAGGTCAAAGTCAGGACATCGCACCAGGTAACGGAAGCTCTTTCCATGGGATTTGAAGATATCCATCCATCTGATAGTTTTGTTTTGTTCATCTTGAGTGGAATCCCTCTCTCTCTTTTTTAACAGTTTGCTTCTACCATTTTCTGTCTTACAGAGAATAGAAAGCTGTCCTTAGTATTTTTAGAACGACCTTCTCTTTGTGATAGAGCTGAAAGAGTGGCTGAACCTCTGCCTCAGGTAAGAGGAGAAATATTGGAAAAGTCCACGAAACTTGGAATAGTTTCATTTTATTCTGTATAATTATCAATGAACGTATAATATTGCTGTTTCCAAACAAGACAAATTTTAGACCAGATCATTGAAAATTCACACTCAGCATAATCTACCAGTGTAGTGTACTTGTTTGCATACTCGTAATACTGCATTCCTATTAGACAGTTACTATCGCTGGGTGATTGGTAGACAGCAACAGTTCCGATTGGCCGCCTAAGTGGCGGGAAGTTTAAATAAATGCCATTGGTTGCGAGCTGCGAGCAGCCGCTATAAAAAGGGCTGCCGCGGCTCGACTTTAGTTGAAGTTACTGACAGTTAATAAAGAGCTGAATTCAACTCCAGTCTCGAGTCTGCTTTTGTTCTGGCGATAGAATAACCAGTCTCTTCTGATAAGCTTTCTCCACCCGCCTGGTTCAGGCTCAGATTTCATTGACCAGATGTTGTCTTGACCTGAGATCTTCCTCCTGTCTCCCAGGGTCATTCTCACTACCATTACAAGCTCTTCCAACACTTCCATGAAGGTGTGGAATAGGGGAAAGATTTGATCTCTCAGTGGATGAAGCAGTCCACTGGCAAAAATATGGATTGTCTCTGTGTTTTCTTCTGCTGACTCTAGGAAGAATTGGAGCCAGTGATAAGTTGTGGATTTAATACTCAACTATCAATTGTCCGAGAAAACTATTTTAATTGATTTCACTGAAAGGCATCACAATCCTCCCAGTGTGAGGAAATGTGCTCCAGTTGGGCCATCAGCTAATAGTGGTGTGATCCCCTTCTGAATTCTGCAGAGGATGCCCATTTTGTTCATAGGATCACTCTTCTTGAATTGGTGAAAGAAAATTCTCACATTATTCTTGGGATTATCTGTTAATAGGGAAACTTGTTTCCTTGTTCAGGGTGGTGTGTCTTTTGAGGAAGTGGCCGTGCATTTCTCCAAGGAGGAGTGGTCTCAACTGGATCCTGCCCAAAAAGCTCTCCATAGGGAAGTGATGCTGGAGAATTCTAGAAATCTGGCCTCTCTGGGTAAGAAACCCTGTCTGTGTTCAGAAATGTAGAGAAGGCATGAGTGGGTGGAGGGCTTAGATATTTCTGATAAAAAAGATCACTTTTTATTTATATCCTGCCTTTATTCTTTTTTGCAAATAACTCCAGGCAGTGGACACAACCAGTACACCTTCCTCTTCCCATTTCCCCCCAACAACAGCACTATGATATGGGTTGGGCTGAGAGAGACTGGCCCAAAATCACCCAGTCAGTATTCATGCTTAAGGCAGAACTAGAACAGGTAGTCTTCAAGTTATGAGCACAATTGAGCCCAAAATGAATGTTGCTAAGTGAGATATTTGTTAAGCGAGTTTTGCCCCATTTTGTGACCTTTCTTGGCACCATTATTAAATGAATCACTGCAGTTAAGTTAGTAACATGGTTGTTAAGTGAATCTGGCTTCTCCATTGACTTTGATTGTCAGGTGGTCATAAAAAGAAATCATACGACCCCAGGACACTGCAACCGTCATATATATGAACCAGTTGTCAAGCATCTGAATGTAAACCACATGACCACAGGGGTGCCCCAATGATCATAAGTGTGGAAAATGGTCTTAAGTCACTTTTTTCAGTGCCCTTGCAATTTTGAACGATTACTAACCAAACTGTTGTACGTTGAAGACTACCTGTACTCACAGTCTCCCAGTTTCTAGTCTGGTGCCTTAACCATTGGACCAAACTGACTGAGATGTGCCCACTCGTGTTCCTGGGGTGGGGAGGTATTGCCATCCAGAAAGTTAGATGTTATTTCTGATTTTAAAAAAATCACTTTTATTTATATCCAGTGGACACACCTAGTACTCCTTCCTCTTTTTATTTCCCCCCTAACATCCTCACTGTGGCATGATTTGGGCTGAAAAGAGACTGACTCAAAGTCACCCACCCAGAATTCATGCTTAAGACGGAACTAGAACTGAAGAGACTCCCAGTTTCTAGCTTGGTGCCTTAACCATTGTATCAAACTGACTGAGATGTGCCTACTTTTGTCCTGAGTTTGGTATCATTCTAAGCTGAGGGTGGGAAGCTATTGCCATCCAGAAATTTTATTGACTTTCAAATATTCTGCTCTGCAGATAGATGGAGATTTTTCATTGAAACTGGGAGCTGGTGGGTATGTTGCTGTTCCAGCCCTGTACAATGTCCAAAGCCCTTTGGGAGTTTGTTGCCCCATGGAATTGTCCCGGGTCACCAAGCGGCTCACACCCACTGGCGCTCTAAGATTAGATCAGGCATTTGTCTTAGTTTTGTTCGGATGCCATCCAATTCTGATAGATGAGAATTGGTGGGAGCCCACTTGGAAATCTATCTTTGGAGAAACCATGGTTTGGAATCTTCATGTTTGCAACAAAACAGCCAGAATATATTGATGATTCTTTTGCTAAATTTCAGAAAAAAAGGTTTGATCATTCTCCTAGTTTGCTGCATTTTACTTTTTTCTCTTTCAAGGCTATAATGAGCATGGGAATAAGAATTGTAAGGAACAATGTCAACCAGTCGATCCAAACGAGCAAAACAAAAATTTTGCAAATGAGATGCAAACAAAGATTGATGAAACAAACCAATCCCAAAGTGAAGTTGAAAAAAGCTTTCCTTCCGCCCATCGTCTTCTTAGCCATACAATCATCAATACGAGAGAAATACCATATCAATGCATGGATTATGAAAAGAGCTTTAATAAACACGAGCATTTAATTCCCCATAAAGAGACACATTCAGAAGACAAACAATATACCTGCATGGAATTTGGAAAGACCTTCTGTTATTATGACTCTTTTACACTCCATCAAAGGAATCACATAGAACGACCTTATAAGTGCATGGATTGTGGAAAGGCCTTTAATTGTAGCAGTCGTCTTAATGTGCACAAGAGGATACACACAGGAGAAAGACCTTATAAATGCATGGAGTGTGGAATGGCATTTACTAATCATGGTTATCTTAATATCCACAAGAGGGTCCACACAGGAGAGAAGCCATATAAATGCATGGAGTGTGGAAAGGCCTTTAATAGTAGCAGTAACCTTAATTCCCATAGGGTGGTTCACACAGGAGAGAAGCCTTATCAATGCATGGAGTGTGGAAAGAGCTTTAGTCAAAGAAGTAGTCTTAATTCTCACAAGAGTATCCACACAGGAGAGAAGCTTTATCAATGCATGGAGTGTGGGAAGGCCTTTACTCGTAACAATCGTCTTATTACCCACAAGAGGATCCACACAGGAGAAAGACCTTATAAGTGCATGGAATGTGGAAAGGCCTTTTTTCATAGCAGTTCTCTTAGTTCCCACAAGAATGTCCACACAGGAGAGAAGATTTATCAATGCATGGAGTGTGGAAAGACTTTTACTCATAACAGTTATCTTAATACCCACAAGAGGGTCCACACAGGAGAAAGACCTTATAAATGCATGGAGTGTGGAAAGACCTTTACTCGTAGCAGTCGTCTTAATTCCCATAAAAGAACCCACACAGAAGAGATATCCATGTCTTGAATGTGCAAAGAATTTTATGTGTTATTGTGGTCTCACCTCCCATAAAAGGATCCACACAGGAGAGAAGCCATATAAATGTATGGAATGTGGAAAATGCTTTAAGAATCATGGTGATCTGGCTTACCATAAAAGAAGTCATATAGGGGATAAACCATATGAATGCATGGAGTGTGGAAAGAGCTTTCCAAGAAGGTACACTCTTAGTTTCCATAGAAATATCCTCGAATAAAGTTAGGACAATCACTGCAGGAATTGTTGGTAGAGATCTGCCACATTGGGATGTGCTGCAATCCACTAGGGAATTACTACTACCTTGGGTTTGGGAATCTCACTCCATCTTGAAATTATTTACTCAAAAGAGAGCTCCTCAATATGCTGTCAGATCTTTGAGGTAAGCCAGACAGGAATCATGGCCAGACAGGCTAACTCTATTGTAAGGCTATTTGTACTACTACTATTCATACTCTGTTGTAAGGCTTTATGAATAGAATTGTGCAAGTCTGAAAGTACAGATCTGCTATTGCTTAAAGTTGCTTCTAACTTTGAGATTGAGGGCATGTGCACTGAACAAATAACTAATAAATAAGAATCTGATATATCAATCGACATTATTTTTAAGATTCCTTCCCTGCCAGTTATGCAGCTGCATACTCCTCCACCTTTTAATTAATATTTCCCTGAGTAGCATGTTTTCCCTTTTCCCTCAAAGTGATTCCCACAAACCTTTAGAAGTTGCTAGTGCTGTGGAAAGATCCATACATTTAAATGTATTAGCTGTGTCCAAAGGCAGTAACTGTCAAGGAAGATTCTTGAGAGGAAAATGATTGACTGGCCAAGCATTCAAGAAGAAGCTAGATGAATCATACACAGATTTTATAGAACTACATGACATACTGAATACATATGGGAGAATATTTATAGCTCAGTGAGATGAGGGGTCCTTGGTGCAGACATTTTGTTGGCTAAAACTAGGTGACATCATCAGTGCTAGTAATAGTTGCTTTTGTTCTCCATTTTATATTTTAGTGGCTTGCACTTTCACGTTTGGTGGGGTTGATCTTAGGAAGTTCTTTGGTTGGGCTGCTTAATATTAGCTTGCTTGGCAGTTCCTTGTTTCGGGAAGTTACTTCTTGATTGTTGATCTGGAGTTAATCTGTGGTCATCTAGGTGGTGATTTGCTAGTGAGGAAGTATTTTGGTCCTTTTGTTTTCTTCTTGGCTTGTTGATTGACTCTTTTGCATAGAGTGTAGATATTGTTTATATCTACTGTATGTGTCTACTGATGGTTTATTTGTTAGAGTGACAGTCTTCTAGAGATTCCCTAGCCTAGCATTTTTGGACTTGGCTTGGTCCAGGGTGATCAGAGTTTCACAGTTCAAATTATGGTTAAGTTTATCCACATGTTGTAAGATTAAAGAGTTTTTCATCGTGTGTTCTGACTGGTAGTTGGTGTTTATGGATGTGCTCTGCCTGTTTGTCCTACATAGTGGCTGTTGCAGTCATTACAGTGTATGTTATTTATGTCACTGATTCCTCACCATAAACGTGTATGTATACTGTATGGAAGAAGCTTCAGCTGAAGCATTCCGAAAAGAAGCGACAACTGTGGGAAGTCCTATAAACCCACATGCAAAAAATTTTCTCTAGTGAAGATGCCAAATTCTGTTTCCCAAACAAAAAACTAAAATGGTTTTTTTGAGGGGTACATTTACCTGTAGCCTTAATTTAAATTAAAAAAGTAGAGTTGATATGATTTCTTTCCAGTTATATAGTTAATGAATTTGCCTCCAACTCTGAGATGGGCAGTATACAGTATAAGCTTAATACGTAATAACAGCCTGGTACATTGGGACACATTGTTTTTAAGTTTCTTTTTGGACTATTATGCAGCTGCAGATTGCTTCTCCTTTTAGTACATAGTTCTTTAGGCAGCATGTATTTTCCTTTCCCTTTGAGAGTTCCCCACAAATCAAGTTCTTGAAGTGTGGAAATAACTTCACGTTTAAACCTATTCCTTCTTGTGTCCAGAAGTCAGTAACTATCAAGAGAAAATTGATTTATCTAGCCAAACATTCAAGAAGAACCTAAATAAATCATAAACAGATTTTACAGGATCACGTGACATGTATGATACATATGGAACACAGTTACGTGGATAATAAAATAGCCATGAAAGGACAATGCCTATCAAAATTGTCAAAGGCCTTCTCTATGTCTGGAAATATCATTCCTCCTTGTTTTTCATTATATTGTTTCAAAGACTCCAAAATAGTGAATATAACCACATTATTATTCAACTATCGTTTAGGCAAAACAACAACACCACAACTTTATTAGAGGTTATCTAATACCTCTTGCTATTGCCTCAATATTTCTGTTCTGAGAAGATAGGCACATTACTACATCATGAGGTATTCTGGGCCTACCTTCTTTTCTGGCTGTTTTGTCAGGGAATTGGCAGCCGGCATCCAAATGAAGTCAGAACCTCTAAAATGAACATGTAGTTTTATATAAATAAGTGTATTTAACATCTACTCTAGATTTACATCAAATAAGATAGGCACACCACTACATCATGAGGTAAATCATCAGGTAAATCTCAGAACAGCATACAAAGCCCATAGAAGAATAAAAGGCGGGGAAAAAAAGGGAAACTCCCCCTTTACAGCTAGCAACCAATCATAATGTAGATTGCCTCATGCAAGAGCCCCACACTGTTCAATGACATCTATGTTTTGTCTCATACAATTTATTGGTCCAGCTATTAAATATCTTGACACACACACACACCTCTGCAATTTTTAGCTGGACAGCATTGAAACCAAGTTCTTTCACAAGATCTTTGTGTCTTTGTATATCCAATGGCTTTGTCATGACAGCTAAATTAATTTCTGATGGACAATAAATTAGGCCTAGTACATTTTCTTTCACAGCTTCTCTGACATTATAATATTTAATGTCAACATACTTTGGTTTTGGTTACTCTCTGACCTGTTGCCAGTTGTATACTTGCCATTTGCATGCATGTATTTCAAATACTGGTACAGCTTGTTTCACTTCAATATCCAAATTCTTTAAAAATTGTATATACTGTGTTATCTCTGTGAGAAGAGGACAACTAGGCCCTAAAGTTGGTGTAGGCCTCTGCCTAAATGAAGGCCTCAAATTAACAATATAACACCGGCTGAGCTGATTTCCAAAGCATGGCAAAATATTTGCAATCTGCTGAGCTGAATTTGCAGGAACAGCAATATGTTTGCTATCTGCTACTTCTGCAAAAAGCATATATTTGGTGAACAATAAAAAATAGAGCTATTTTGGATCACGAATGTCTGGGATATTGAGAAAAAGGGGAACTGAAAGTAGCAGATGGTAAGTGAATTGGCATATTCCTACAAGTGGGTATTAAGCGATGGGCAGTGTGAAGGAATAGGGAAGTACATCCAGTAAGATTACAAACTACTGGGTGGGCTTCAGAAGAAGTATAAAAGAAGGGGATAAATCTCAAACAGGACCACCAATAGTAGCTATCCTTTCTGGAGTTAGCTTCTGTCTCTGGACCTCATTTCAATGGGTTATTGATATAAGTTGTGTTATGATGGCTTTTCATGTTCTAAATTGCTCATTAAATAAACTTCTGATCTCAAAGTAAGATTTATTGCCTGTGGTCTGTGTATTTCCTTTATTGAATTCCTTTTATAACATCTCTGAATACAGTTCTGACATGAGCTATGAACTCTGCCTCAGCTATGGAAATGGCAACTGAAGTCTGTTTTCTAGATTTCCAACAGACTAGTGTGTCTGCAAACATAATAAATCCTGACATCGGCCTTTTGTCTTGTATATCATTAGCCCAATCACTTGTCTACAAAATATTTCAATTCAAATTCATTTGATGATTGCAAATGCAATCCAAAATCCACAATTTTCCGGCAACTGACCTTGCCTTGATGATTGTATTTCATCATCAAAAGTTTCTTTTTGTATACACCCAACAGGTTTTTTTTCCCCCCTCTGGCAACCTCACTGGAGTAAAACACTTATGTGTCTGCATAGGCAACATTTCTTCATCTATTGCCTCTTTCCGGTTCTTTGGTTCTGCTAGAGCAGGGGTAGTCAACCTTTTTATATCTATCGCCCACTTTTGTATCTCTGTTAGCAGTAAAATTTTCTGTAACCGCCCACCGGTTCCACAGTAGTGGTCATTTATAAAGTAGGGGACAAAACCACTACCGCCCACCATGAAAGCTGGAACGCCCACTAGTGGGCAGTAGGGACCAGGTTGACTACCACTATGCTAGAGGTATTTAATACTTCTAAGTAATTTTGGGGCTCATTAAAAAAATATTACATACATTCCCCTCATCTGCTGTGAATCTGGAGAAACACCTTTGTTTGTTCTTTCAGATCCCCTTGGAATAAAATGTTCCTGCTTCACAGGAGTCTCGCTCTCCAAACAATCCTCTGCGCTATTCTCAGATTTCTGTTTAATGTGCCTGCTTGAATGTTCATTTATTGCAGACCTCTGACTAACAAGCATTAAAATTTCAATATTGGGCTGTACCTTTTCCCAATTCTCATGTTCAGAGAAATTTGCAGACTGTGAAATAATAACATTTTTGTCTATCTGTAAAGCTATAAGCCTTTGATCCCGACTCTGCAGGCAACGTCAGAGCCGGATCTCCCCTAGGGATCCGAAGCTCGCTTTCTCCTGGGGGGGAGGGGGGGAATCTCCTGGCAGGGGAGGGCAGCCTGCTCGCCTCTCTGGCCCCGCCTTTTATTGCAGCCTCAGCTCCTCCCTCTCCGCAGCTGGGGCTCTCAGTTCCTCCGTAGGGCGTCGGCGTACAGGGTGCCTCTGCCCATACGAAGAGCGCCCTGCTGGGCCGGGGCGGGGCTGCCTCCTGCTCCAGCATCCCGGAGGGGAATTGAAACTCCGCGATGGCTGCCCGAGTGTCCCGGAGGGAGCGGCGAGGATGGCGGCGTCTGCCCAGGCTGGAGAAGAGGGTGGCCGGGAAGGGATGCGGAGGAGCCCCGGGGGGCGGGAGGCGGGCGCCGGCTGAGACGGGACGGGGAAAGAGAAGCAGGGATGAGTCCTCTGTGCAGCCGCGGTTGAGGGAGCGCCAGGGGGAGGATCGGGAAGAAGCCCCCAGCGGATCCCTTCTGGTGGATCCCAAATCCTCAAAGTGGATCTAGGTAGCTGCTCCCGCCCCGCTCCGCTCCATCCCTCTCGGCCTTTCCCAGCCTATGGATCCCTGCGGGCGTTTTTTGGGGAGGTCCCTACCGGCATCGCCTCCTCCACACCCGGAGCCGGATGGGCGCACAAGTGCAGTTTCGCCGCTTCTTCCCTCGCTTCCCCACAAACCATCATCCCCCACCTCTTGGGGTGTGTGTGTGTGTGTGTTACAAGACACGTAGCCAATTCTGGCAATCTGCCCAGCTGAGATTCCGAAGCTTAATAATGGGGGAAAAGAAATCGCGGGTCCCTTTGGGATCCTCCTTGATCTGGAGAAATATCCTTCCAGTTAAGTGAATCTGAAGCTGGAAAAAGGCACCTGGATAAGTCTCGTGAAAGGAACCTGGTTATTCTTATCTTGGCTCTATCGGGTCCCTTCAGCTTCCCTCCACCACCACCCCGCCCCCCCAGCAGTGATCAGGAGGGATGGAGAGACTGAACAGGTGGCTCTGCAATGACAAGGGATTTATACAGGAGTGGGGTTCAAATTTCTTAACAACCTGTTCTGTGGGTGTGGCCTAATTTGTGGGTGTGGCTTGCTGGTTGTGTGACTGGCTGGTCGTGGCTTGCTGTCTGGTCTCATGTGACTGGCTAAACATGGCTTGGTGGTCACATGACTGGGTGGGTCAAAAGATAGAAACTCACTTTAACAACCTCTTGGTGTGGGGTTGGACAAGATGACCTCTGAGGTCCCTTCCA